TTTGAAGTCTTAGTTTGTCTTTTGGTATTCCTAAATTTGTCTATTTCCATGTGTGTTACCCAGACAGCTGTTTTTATCCCTAAGATTTGCTCACTTTCTTATTGGAAGATTCCAGTAGGATTAGGGCTGGAGCCCCTCTGCTGTGAGGGCAGGCTGAGAAGAGAAGGCTCCAGGGAGACCTTCATGCAGCCTTTCAGTATCTGAAGGGGGCTTCCAAGAAAGCTGGGGAGGAACATTTTACAAGGGGTTGTAGTGATGGGATGAGGGGTGATGGCTTCAAACTGGAAGAGGGGAGATTTAGATTAGAAATTAGGAGGAAGTTCTTCACTCTGAGGGTGGTGAGACCCTGGCCCAGGCTGCCCAGGGAAGCTGTGGATGCTCCATCCCTGGTTCCCGACCAGGCTGGATGGGGCTTGGAGCAACCTGCTCTAGTGGGAGGTGTCCCTGCCCATGGCAGGGGGGTGGAACTGGGTGATCTTTAAGATCCTTTCCAAGCCAAACCTTTCTGTGATTTTACAAATACAAGTCAGTGTCTCTTGTTTTGTCTCTTTTAGAAGCCAGTTAGGCCACTGTGATCAAACCTGTCTTACATGGCTGTAGGATTCCTCTGTTCTTAATCACACCAGTTACCCTTTAGTGTCCCTCTTCAGTATTTTCCTCTTCCAGTGCCAGGTCGATGATTTTTAAAAACTTCTCTGAAAAAAAAAACAAACAAAAAAAACCCCACCAAAACAAAACCCCAAACCTCTACTAAACACTTGGGGTTTTTTTTTGTGCCAGTGTTAATTACCTTGACTCCTTCTTGAGAGCCAGGAGGGTGCCAGGCTGCTGGCTGGATGGGTGGGATCTGCTGGGCTTGGCTTCTCTGGGTGAAGGTGCTCCTGCCCCAGCCACCCAAGGTTCTCACCTCCCTGCTGCATGGTGCTCTGGGCTGAGGTCTGGGCTGTGGAGGTCAGTGAGTCAAGCAGGGTAGTGAGCTGTGGAGCACAGCAGGCACGATGTGTGGTCATGGGTGACTGGAGAGATTGGCAGCACCTAAAATCTCCTTTATGAGCCTTCCCTGGGCAGACGGGTGCTTTCCATCAGAGGACAATGCAGACTCTGTTGTTCTGCCCAGGTCTGAGCCAGGAGCAGGGGAGAGGGACCTGTGATTGCAGAGAGGAGCTGGACCTGCACGGGTGTTGCAGGAGCTTTTCTTTCCACGCTGTTGATTTACAGGAGAAGCTGATGGAAAAGCAGAGGGGGGTTTAAAAGGTGCCTGGAGAGGGGTTTGGGCACTGCGTGCTCTTTTAAAATGTTTGCAGTGGTTACACCCCAGTGATGGTGACCCGAAAAAATATTTAATCACAGGCCTTCCTAATACTTTAAATCATAGCTGTGAAGTGGGGGCCAAGGGCTCAGCTCTGGCCGTGGCCTTGTGGTGTGTGAGAGCTGTGCCAAGGAAAACAAGAGCCTGCTGAGAATGGGTGTCCTCAGTACACCTTGGCCTGAGCCCCTCGGCCTTGTTTGGTTTGACTTTCACTCTCTAAGCTTTAGGGAGGAGATTCATGCTCCTGTCATCATTTGAACAGCAGATCATTGAGTTCATATGTGATGCATTAAAGCAGGGGCCTGCTTCCAATGTAAGTAACCATAAAAAAGCCACTGGGGTAACGATGCACTGCTGCTGGGCAAACAATGGAAACTCCCCTTGCAGAGCTCAGCCTGGGGCTGGAGTTCTCTCTGCAGATGCCATACCAGGCTTAATGGGACAGGACAGGCTTCCTCAGGACCCAGGGCAGGAAACAAAAATCTTCATGCTACCTAGAGGTCTGCTGGGTGAGGAGCTGTTTGTTCTGAGCTGCTTCTTCTGTAGCTGGACTCAGCTCCTGAGCTGGAGGTTTTTACACTGCTCTAAATCCCATTTGCCACGTCACTTAAGGGCAGCACGTTTGGTTTTCACTCTTTGGTAGGTTTTTTTCATACATTCTGCAGCAAACGTAGGCACTGAAAGTAGGTTTCAGTTGTTTCTCCAATGGTGTGTTAGTTTTCCCTTGGTGATATCAATCATCTGATGTCCTAACCATATTTTGGGTATTTTGTACGTGGTTTTGGGTCAACTCAACGTTTGAGCTCCTTGCCCACCTTTGATCCTAGAATGGGAACAGCAGATGTCCTCGTGTGTTTGGTGGAAGCTTTTGAAGTGCTCACAAGCTTTGTAATATCCTGGCTTATAAACTGATGGCAGAGAGAACCTTTCAGTGCTTTCAAAGGGGAGTCTGTGGAGAGCCATTACTTTGAAACCAGTTTCACCTCGTAGCCACAAATTGGGTATTTTCTGAGTGATGACTGGAATGATGAACTTGGTGGCCAGGAGCAGGCACAAAGGACCAGCTCATGGAGTGCCTCCTAATTCACCACTCTGGCAGTGACAAAGAGCTGGGCAGGTCTTGCACTGGATGTCACAGGGAGCATTTGCTGCTGCTTATGGAAACACTTGCTCAGTAATTTCCCTTCCTGATGTCTGCAGATCACACTCGGTGTGAGTGTCAAGTGAAGGGACAACGTGGTGGAGCTGGGCTTGGATCTGGAGTCTACAAATAGCTGCTCTGGGCTCTCCTGTCCTCTTGGTGAGGTCAGATCAGTGGCCTCTACCTACCTGAATGCCACACACTGAGGACTGATGTGGCTTTTCCAGTTTGTTGATCCACTTCTCAGTGGGTTTCCCAACGCAGCTTTCCACGTGCTGTGACAGGAATTGTCTCTGTTTATAAGGGGAAAAGTGTGGACAGAATAAGGAAAGAGGGAGAGATGTGGTAGATGGAGCACTGAGCCTGTTTTGGGCAGATGAAAACCTCCTCTGTGCCACTGGAACTTACTCCACCTGATGGTTTTCTAAATGAGAGCTTCAGGCTTTTGCTTTATGCCTTCAGTTATGGAAGTTTCTTTTAAAGAGCTGCAGTCTCTGATTGAAACGAGATGTCCTGTGATGTGCTCCCAAACAGAGCCTGAGATTTTGGGTTTGTTTAAAGTGTGGGATTTCAGATTCTGTCCTGATCCAATAGAGGGACGTGTGGATGTACACACACAAGCCTACAACACACAAACATCCGTGCTGTGATTATCCAGTCCTGTAAATAATTTATGGATAGGCATAATTGATTTGTGTATGTGCATGTGTCAACTCCACTGTGAGAAGATGAGGGAGACTCCTGCCCAGCTCCATGCATGTAAGATCCATAGATCATCATTTTGGTCTGAAAACTTGGGGAGGATTAGAGCTGAAGTGACTTCTCCACACTGCTGGAGTGTTCCCTTCACATGGAAGAACATTTGTCTTCTTGCCCAGTGCAGGTTTCATTCTGATCTTTAGCAGTTTGTCATGTGTAAGTACCAACATGCTGTATGCAGCCATCTCTGTTTTGGCTGCAAAGGATGTCACAGAAGAACTTTTTGGTGGAACTGGTAGGAGAAAGCTGATTTCTTTTCTGTTTTTCCTTTGCTATCATCCTTGCCCTAGAGGCCTGTGACATCAGATAGAGAACTTGTATTTTTGCAGGTGCCCAAACACTGGGGCTCTGCTGGAAAACCTCTCCTGGGGATGAGCCTGGATGCAGCTCACGAGAGCTCAGGCCTGAAGCAGCAGAGGCCAGGATGGAGGCAGCAGCTCCCAGCTCCCAGCTGAGCCTGGCAGCACTGGCTGGAGGGGAGGGCTGAGGCCAGGGGTTGGGCAGGGAAGGAGTGGTGGGTGTGTTAGGTGCCATCTGCCCTGATGGAGGGCCGCAGGGTGAGGTGCTGGGAGGAGGGGAGAGGGCAGGACACGCTGCCTTCCCCTGGCAGCAAAGGAGGGATGAAAAATGCCAGCGTTTTCCTGGAGGGAGGAGCAGCTGTGAGATCCCCTCACTGCGTGCAGAGTGGGAGCAGCCTGCCCGTTTCCTGGCAGAGAGTCAAAGCTGCACTTGGATGGATGGATGGATTTCTGCAGCCCCCTCCTTCAAGGCAGGACTAGCAGGTGCCTTCCTGAGAGCTGGCCGAGCACAAAGAGCCCGTGTGTGCTTCCTCAGCCAGGGGGAACACTGAGGAAGGACAAGCTTGCTGAGAAAGAAGCTGGCTCCAAACCTGGAGTTTATTTACGTAGGGAGGGGCGGGAAGGGGAGGACGTGGGGCTGCCCTGGGGTTTCAGATGAAAGCAGCACAGATGTGTGTCGAGTTCCTTACTCGAAATGCTCTCTGGCCAAGGTGGAAGGTTTGGCAGAGCTGGATGCAGGCTGCCCTGCTGCAAAGGGAGCTCGAGCTGCCCTCAGGAGGAGCTGCCCTGGGAGGGGTCACTGCTCAGTAAAACACCAGTGAAGATGTTCTGCCTTTTCTCACAGGAGAGTCATATATTTTCATCAAGTGGAGCTTTCATGGAAAGGTCCATCCCAGCCACTTCCAGAGGCTGTAGCCTGGAGGGGGGAAAAGGGGGGTGGATGTTTTCCCACCAGAGGGATCTTCAGGTTGTAGCTGTCATGATCCTTGCACTTCAGCAGTTATCCAGATTCCTGGGGGCACTGTCTTTAACTGCTAACTGAGCTGTGGTTTTGGGGCACAGAGATGAACTGAGTGGGGCTTGTCCAGGGAATCATTTCTGAATCCACAGAAATCCACATGGATTCTGCAGTGGCTCAGTTGTGTAGTAACTTTTAGAAGAGTTGAGCAGGTACAGACTAGTGGGATAGAGAGCAGACATGGGGTCCCCAGATGCATATGTGGGGTTGAATGTAGGGTTTGGTAAAGGATACAGGAGATGTTTGGTTCCCCCAGTTGGAGCAGCTACACAGGAGCACCCAAGAAGAGGAGCTGAGCTCTCAGCTGATCTCACAACGCTGCAACCTCCATGGGGTTCACAACTTCCATTTCTCCAGCTACAGTCTGAAATAGGAGTCGGGCAGAGAGAGGCCAAATTTTGCCTTGCTGGTCTCCAAACCATTCCGTGTGCTTTCCACCTGGAGACTTCAGGCTGCCCACTGCCTGTGGCCTGGCAGATTTTGGCTCGTGCTGCTCTGTTTGTGTCTCATTCAAGGGATTTTCATGTTGCTCTGGGGCCAGAGCAGCCGTGGATGTTGTTGCCAGTTCTTGCCAGCAAAATGGTGGATGAGTTTCCTCCTTTTCTTTCTAGTATTTTTAGACACGAAGTGCTCATCCAATTTGAATTTATCTCTGCATTAATTCTTCCAAGTAACACGTACAGAAAGCCCAAACAGCTGCTGCAGGAAACCCCCAAAGCGACCAGCCAGCCATGGAGAGCTGGACAGACCCAGGAGAGCAGAGAGAGCTTCCCTGGGAGGCAGACCCGTGGCAGATGGCTGGGGACAGAGGCAGGGACACCAGGCAGTGGGGCCTGAGCAGCAGAGGAGCTCCTGGGCCCTGGGGCTGGGACTTGGCTCCTTCCAGAGCGTTGGCTTCTTGGCCGAGCTCGGTGGCAGATGGGGAGCGACAGTGGAAAGATGAGCTGCTTCTTAACATCAACTTCCAGAGTGGAATTTCCCCTCAAAGCAAACCAGCCCTTTTAGTTAAGCAGCTACAGGCTTGCTGCTGAGGTCCGTGCAGCAAGAGCTGCTGGAAGGAAGCTTTAAACCCCCCCCCAGCTCTGCTGTTTGTATGAGATGGCTGCTTCCTCCCTCTCAGCTCCACTAAAACAGCCTCTCGGAACATCTGCGCTTCCATAGCACATAAAAACGTTTTCCTTCTGGCAGCAGCTTTTATGGAGATGTAATAAGTTTTACCAAAAAAAAAAAACCAAAAAAAAGACAGAATTCATTCTGTTTTCAGACTCTGCTCCTTGCCGAGGAGCTCGAGCTCGGCCTGCCCAGGTGGGGAGGACTCTGGAAGGAAGGTGTTGACTCACTGCCAGCCCAGAGGGGGTCAGTTTGCCCAAATAGTTCCCAAACTCAGTGGAACGTGGGTGCCTGTGTGGACGTAGCTCAGATTTGTTCTCCCCCTGGGTCCCTTCTGCAGGCAGCGTGTCGCTGTCACACGCAGACAGGACAAACTGTGTCCTTGTTCCCTCTCCCCCTCGTCTGGGTTGTCTGTTGCCTTCAGGGTTCCAGCTGAGCAATGTGCTTCCCCAGGCCTGTTAGAGACTTGGCTTATTAGGAGAAACCTGTCGCTGGCCCAGATTTTGAAACCCTACCCTGAGGGAGGGATGTGAACAGATGGATAAGAGAATTCGGCGGGATTAGTAAAACCCTTTGAAGACTGTTCTTCCCACTACATTTTCCTCCCAGTTTTGTTTTCGTGCCATCTCAGCACATCTTGTATCAGTTGAGGTTCTGGGGACTTGCTGTTCGTTGTTCAGCAGCCTGTCTGTGTGCAGGCAGAGTTCCCATCTCGGGATGTGGGGAAGCTGGGCTCTTCCCAAGCACAGATCATGGATAGATGGTCAGCCAGGGCCCCTGGGTGGACATCACACGGGGCAAAGTCAGGTGGAATAAAGGAAATGCTGCGTTCTGCAGGAGCAGCTCCCAGCTCTTGAGGCTTGTGAGGAAAACCTCACCTAGTTCAGGTCTCCTGTTCAGATCCTACACCGAGAGCGTGGTGTCATTACACACTGAAGCTGCTCCCACTCTGAATTAC